GGGTTTAGGGGTTCAGGGTGCAGGGTTTAGGGTCTATGACTCTTACTCTTCACCATTTGGGGTGTTCGGGCTGCTGCGTGGCGTTTTGGAGGGAGAGGTTTAAGATTTGGGCGTTGGGGTGCAAGTTTAGAGCGCTACCTAAAGTCGACGTTATAGTTCCTTCCTATAAGGTTAAACCCCAAAACGGAATTGCAATGGGGACTGTAGGTATACTTTATGACATAGAAAGCCGTACATATGGTTCCTTATCGCCTTGGCGAGAACCCGCACCCAGGTTAAGGGTGGAGTGCTGGGCTTTGCCTGTGCTCTTGCGCTTGCTTTGGTGGAAAGGACTAAAGGCTACACCCCTGAACCCTAAACCCTGAAAAATTAGCCCTAAACCATATAAACCTCTAACCCTAAACCCTAAGGACTTAAGGACATGCACGATTATGGGTGCCGGTGCTTGGCTGAGATGGAGAACGTGATCTCGAACCTGCAAGCTCCTGGCTTGGCAGTGGCTGTCCTTCCAAGAATGTTAGAGAATGCGAGCCTGTTGGCTACTGTTTAGGGGTTTAGGGGTTAGGGGCTACGGTTTAGGGGTTTAGGGTTGAGGCTTCGCACAGTTTGTCGACAGGCCCTCGGCGAAGCCATAGCAGATCCGCAAGGAATCGTTCCTTAAAGGACCATGGGACTTAGTAACTGAGGTTATGAACAAGGCAATTATACTTATAATTACTTATAACCCCAGTTCAGGTACTTATAACCCCACTTACTAAGTCCCAAGATCCTCCAAGTAGTCTCCATTGCCTAAACCCTAAACCCTTATAGTAGCCTTTGTAGAACCCTTCAAGGAAGCCCAAAACACTGTTCTCTTACTAGGTCCGACACAACCTGGCAAAGCCCGCGATGTATTCAGCCCGCCCTTCATGGGTTTAGGGTTTAGGGGTTAGGATTTAGGTTTTAGGGTTTAGGGTTTAGGGTTAGGACGGCATGGTCCGCAAGTTTGCAAGCAGGGGCCACCAATCTTCACCTGCCTCACCTTTCTCGAAGTTTCAGTGAACACGTGGGCGGTCGGGGGACTTAGTAAGTAGTTATTTTATAGACTTATAAGTACCATAACCCCAATTAGGATCCCATTGAGGGTAGTTATAAGTCTACTTATTCCCTACTTAACAAGTCCCCCGACCCTCCAAGCATGGGATACCTTTCTTTTCTAGGATCCAATATCACCAAAACGAGCCCCTCATAGTCAGACGCCTTCCAAACTTTAAACCCCACCCTATAAAGGAACCTTAAACGCCAGACCTTGCAAACCCCAGAGACATTCCTCGCCACGTTAGACTTCTTTAGCTGCAGTTGCCCCTTCTCGACCTCCACAAGAAAGACTCCCAAACGGAAAGTAGGAACGGTTTGAGTCGGCTGTTAGGGTTTGGGGCTGGGGTTTGGGGTGTTGGGTTTCAGGATTCAGACTTTAGGGTTCAGTATGGGATGACATGGCTGGTAGCTTGAGGTCCAGGGGCTTGCCGACGCAGGAGTTGCGACAGTCTTGAAGATGGAATATGGAAAGGCTTTACACTACCTAGACGAAACCCTGAAACGCCAACTATAGAGGAACTGTAGAAACCCTGCCCTAAACTCTAGGCCTCATGCTCTAGCTAGGCGGAGGAAAGCAGCTTTCACAACAGAAAATCGGGAACCTTAAACCCAAGCTTTGGGGTTTGGGGTAGAGGGACTTACCCGAAGCCGCTCCGTATCACGGCTTGGCAGGAAAGGGCTGAGCATGCTGGCGGTGGTCGGCAGGCTCCGACTCTGTTTTTTGTTCGGGGATTTTTTGGTGCACTTTAAATAAGGTTTAGGGCCAAAAATGCCACAACTTCGGACTGACAGCTGGAACACCCAGAACCATCAAGCACCTTCAGTTGGCTCCATTACCATTGCTATGCATCCAAGCGGCCGTTTCATGAGTGTCTCCGAACCCTAAATCCAGCTCCCCTTGAATTCGCAATGTCTCTGAACCCTCAACCCTAACTCTAAAAGCGAAACCCTGCAAACCCTGAAGCTCCGAAGCCCCGATAGAGCATCCGGAAGCCTCAAACCCAGTATACGAGCCCTGAAAGGAGCCCTCTTTGAGTGCCCAGAACCCTTTAGGGTTTAGGGGTCTAGGGTTTAGGGCTATAGCGCACTTCCCGTCTTAGAGAGCAAAGGAGGGGACTTAGTAAGCAGTTATTTTATAGACTTATAAGCATCATAGCCCCAATTAGAGTCCCGTTTTGGTTACTTGAAACTCTACTTATTACCTACTTACTAAGTCCTAGTAAGACCCCTCCTAGTTCCCTTTTGAACCCTTGCCTTCAAACGAAGAGTGCGATGCTCCCTCAGCGCGAGGCCCGCTCTGAAACTTCCAGTAGAGACGAGAAGGCTGCTAATGGACGAGGAGGCCGTGAGTTTAGGGCTTTTGAGGTGCAAGGCTGGGGTCTGACGATTACAAAGACTCAGTATAAATAAATAAATAAATAAATACACACATACATAACTATGTATGTATATATATATATATATCTATCTATTATATACATATGTATATATATATNNTATATATACATACACACACACACACGGGTTTAGGGCTCATATTTTCTCCGATGTGCTTTTGAAGTTAGGTTTGTTTCTGGCAACAGCATGTACTTAGGATCTCCCAGCAAAACGTTGCTTACAGTTTCAGGGACTATAGAAATTTATTCATTCTCCTCAGCCCCCGACCCATAAACCACGGTCCTGAACCATAAATGCTGCCAGCCCGACACACGTTAGATCTTGGAACGGCTGCGGCAGGGACTGGTTTGATTCAAGGTTTCCCGAAACGGCACCTAACAGTTAGAGTGATTCACTACCAGAAAAGACTTGACCAGGATCCTGCCTTAGATCAGCCCCTTTTCTGGGAATTTCTCAAAGCTCAACAAGACTGCAGGTAACTTGTTTTGGGGTTCTTGTGGTAAGGATCCTTCCATTCGAGGTTTAAGGCCGCTAAACCCTAATCCCTTATGGTACCCTTATAGATTCCGTAAAGGAAGCCAGCCTTTCAAAGAACCANNCCCCCCCCCCCCCCCCCCACCCGTCTTCTGCACCTCCGCTGGAGTGGTTCGTCCGCCGCGGTGGAGCTCATGCTTCTTTTACCTCTGTATGACGACGTGAGATCTACAAACCCCTGAACCTTAAGCATTCATCCCGGATCCCCAAGCTCAAGACCCAAACCCCAAGCTCTAAGCCCAACATCAAGATGATCCAAGAAGGCATCGTCGAGGCGAGAGCCAAGCAAGTGGCGCGGTGACCACATGTTGCATCACATCTCCAGCCAGCTAAGGGTAGGAGCTCTTCGACAAGATCTGCTGGCACTTCGCCCAGACAATGCTGGACGAAGTTGGCCTGGCTTGGCTCCACAAGCTTCGGCGATGTCTCCTAACCTAAACCCTAAATCTACAGCATGACCGCTAATCCCTACCTTAACCCCCCCCCCNNGGCTCCTTGTCATGATTTCCTTACATAAGAAGTCCTTAAGGAGGCAGGTTCTGTGGGGTTCAGATACTCGTTACTTTAGGGCCGACGTGCTGGAAGACTCAGCCATGAGGGCCTCATGTTCAGGGCGTCGGCCCTTTTCCTGGATCGGGTTTTGGGCTTAGGGTTGAGGAATTTAGGGGCTTAGGGCTTAGGGTGTAGGGTTTAGGGTTTAGGGGTTTAGGGGTTTAGGGCTTTGGGTTTTTCCTGCATCTCGGAAGTCTTGCTTAGGACCTTTATATGCTGGGTTCATCATAGGGAGCTATGGTAAAGATCATAAACCCTAAACCCGAAACCGTGAT